CAGCATTTATCAGAATCATAATCATCATAGCCATCAATCATCAATCGAGTAAACATGATAATGATTTACCAAAAAAAATTCCGTCAAAAACTTTTTCCAGTCGGGTAAATCTGTAGCGTCCTAGCTCAAAATAGCTTGTAATGAACCCAATTTTTACGGGCAATACTTATACGGTTGAATAAGCTTCTCTTGATCTGCGAGATATATTCATTAACTTTGGTAAAAATGATTTCTACCAATTTCTCGAAACTGAACGAGTGACAACGAAAATAGTTACACTTGCAGTTATATTTTTGTTTTCTGTGCAGGAATCAGTTAAAGTTCTTCCCTCGTTGCTTGTGAAACTCCGTGATGAAAACAGACGGAGAACTTTCGATAAACAAAGAGGGGATTGAGGGCGTGAAAAAGAATCTCTCTTTCTCAAACGAATGGACCTGCATGCAACAAGAATGAGAGATCTCAAAAATCTTCAAAAACTTCCAATTAGTTATGCAGCCCGCGTAGCATTCAAAACGTTCAATAACTCTCAGCAAAGAACGTCACTCATCTTGATGATCGTAATTGAAAAGTTTTTTTCTTTGGCCATGATCTAAGATGCCATCGTCAGAGTATTGACAAAGACAAACTTACAACTTTCATAAATTGATTGGCAATTACACTTGTAGCAATAATTGATCCAAACCAGTCAACTGCTGACTTCATTCTATCGAGAAAGAATGACGGCTGAAAAAATTCCACTCAGTTGTGTTCCTAGTTGCCCTACAAATGTATTGCCTATGGCACTCTAATGTTTCTGCGTAAACGAAAAACTAAAAAGACTCGTCATATAAACAATGGATAAGAAAATTGTAATGCTCACATCTCTCCATGAGTAGGTGTATGACATGAAGTTCGGAGGAAGCAAAGCGTAGTTTCTGTAAATAAAAAGGTGAACATGATGAAGGCCCGTATGCACGTACATCCCCGCTTCACTTAATTATTGCAAAGCATTTCGTTCAGTTTGATGAAAGATTTTCTTCAGAAGTCGAACTTCTTTCTCAGCGACCTGTAGCTTGCAGTTTTGTCTCGCTTTTCTATTTCGGCTTCTCGCGAAGGAACTCGAGCGTATATCTGCCATTTTCGACTATTTATAGGAGTTTCTGATCATTCACGAGATTGTGCATTCTTTCATTATGACATGATAATTTTATCTGTTTAGGCTGATCAACAAATTGTAAATATCATATTATATGATATGCTGTTTTTGTCTTGTTATCTACTTGCTTTCAAAAAAATCAAAAAATAGCAGATTTGCTTGATTTTGGGTAAAAATCCCCGAGGGAGTGATCCCCAGCGTTCCCCTTGTGCATAGCAAGGATTGTTGTTAGGGATCATTCCCTTGGGGGTGGTTGATATGTCGCTAATATCTTCAGCCTTCATGGGGTGCTGGCACGATTTGCAGCTTCTGTTATGTGTAGAAATGCT